GTAAATAGGATCAAGTGGGCATTCAACTTGCCATACAATTAAATGACTTCTTTCTCCTTTTGACAATTTGTTATGAATATTTTTTTCAGTTTCTAGATCATTTGAAATCATACCTTCAATGTCTTCATCATTATTACCATCACCTATTAAAAAAAATTATTTTAAATAAAACACAATAAGAAGAGATTGAAAATTACTAATATAAATATTTAATCCATCTTTTTTATTATCATTAGGCTAATCAGAAAATGACAAATTCTGATAGTATCGCTATTCTAAATATAAAAATGAATCTGCTCAAAATTATTAATGTAATATATGAATCAAATTTAATTTGTTTAAGACTTAGTTAAATTTTGTTAGACTTTTCCTAATGTTTTATGATATGTCTAAATTTTAAAAGTGATTTTTTCAGTTAAAAGAAACAGAGATTGATATAAATTTGTTAATAAGATATTAAATACTAAGTCAGGAATCACTGTGTGATAAAACTAATGGGAAAATACCTTTTAAGCAATGGAAAATTCTTTAATACGATAATTAGCAACCATAGTGGTTTCTGGGTCTATCCATAAGACGCAGTGGTGTTCAAAAATTATAATTATATTATAGATAGATAGAAACATGGAATATGAATTCACTAATCAAATTATTTTAATTCAATTTCAATTACAATCAAAGTTTATTATAAAAATTTATAAATATAGAAATTCCTGAAATAAAAATAAGTAATGAGTTGCTTAACTTTTCCAGCAACATTTAAAACTGTATGTGGAGCCATCTGTTAAGATATTTTTATTAAAACTTTTTATATTTTTAATTATTATAAAATAGCAAAAACCTTAATTTTCAGGGTAAAGTTTTATAAAAAATTGTAAATGCTAATGAGTAAAATTTCATTAAGTCTGACAATACTCGAGATATGACACACAACAGCACCTTCATCTCCCCAACCCCCTTGACCTTTAGCCATCAAAATTTAAGAGCATCAATTTCCCTAATACACAAACCTCCCTGAAAAACTTCAGAAATTTTTGACAAAAAGCACAAGAGTTATTAAGCATAAAACAGGATGAACAACATTGTGCTCCCCCACACAAACATCCACACATACAAAAAAAAACCCTGAATTTTTTTTGCATTTCTCAACGTTTTAAGATCTAGAGTCCAAAAATGTAAAAATTTTTTGACCAATCTCCATACTTTACCTCTGTTATATATAATAGAGCTGGGAAAGTAAAAATCTATTAATTAAATAAAAATTTATTCCAAAAATCTAAATCTTTTATTATATCTTAAAAAATATGTCAATAGTAATTACTAAACTGTTTTGTTTATTCATATCTTAAATAAAAGTAAAATATATATATATACCTATTCGAAAATCTATATATCCTTCTCCACCAGATATAACTAATGTATGTGCAACTTTTCTTATTTCTTCTTCATAGTCATTATTCTGCTTAATACTATCAGAGTTATTTCCTGAAATTTCAATGTAAAATACTATAACAACTTAATAAGGAAAAAACTTAGTTTAAAAAATTTAAATAATTATAAACTGTGTATAGGATATTTCTACAGATTGACTTATTTTACTAAAATGCCTAATTAAGAGAAGAAAATTTATAATAAAAAATACAATACACATTAAAGTGTTATATATATTTTATAAAATTAAATTCGAGCAAAGTTTTCATAGTTAACAAAATATAATTCTAAAATGGAATAATTTATTTTATTAAATATTTAATTGAAATAACAATTTTAATGTCATTTCCATTAAATATGCAATAAAGCAACTATAGTAAAATACTGTATTTAATAAAGATAAATATCGTAATTAATTACAGAATACACTTTAAAACATAGTTAAAAGATATTAAAATTGAGAAAATTCTTGATGGAACCTTATAAAGTTTATACATACATTTACAAAAATTTCATATCATTTTAAGAAAAATTTTAGAAAATAACTTATAAAAAGTTAAATGAAAATACAAACCTGGAACTGATACAAAAAATTTTACAGAATCTCTATGACCATGGAAAGATAGCTGAGCTTGAGCCATTGAACAATATGGAATATAACTATTTGTAGTAACATCTTCTTTCTTATCAGAATAAACTCTTACAACACCACCTGGAGTTTTATTTTTATTAGGTGTTAAAGTTGGTTTATTTCCTAAATTCAATAACACATTCATTCATTAATATTTCATATTATTAATGTAAAATACAATTACATTAATTTTAATATTTATTATATTATTCACATTGAACAGTAAAGACTCAGTGATCATTTAATTATTTTATGAGAACATTTTTTATTTAAATTTTCTTTCTGAATTAAATGGTTCGATGTGTAAAGATTATATTTTTGTAAGTTTCAAAAATAAAAATATTTATTTATAAAAATGTGTAAGTTAACATGTTTCTTACAAACTTCAATTGTTATTTAATACAAATATATTTATTAAGTTAATTTTGAATTTAAATTTCATAGAAAAGAATATCTGTAAAACCTGAAAATATAAATATATGTTTAGCAAGATAAAGTAGAAAGATAAAAATTTTCAGGATTGAACAGTTAAAACAATAAAACAGGTTGAATTAATGATTTTTGTTATTTTGAAACTTTCTTCAAAACTATTTTTAAATAATATCTTTTTCCTTTAAAATGCTAGTTATTACATTTTCAATAATTATAACATTTTTCTAAGAATGTTTCTAGAATAGACATAAAATTCAAAGAATGTTTAAGAATGAAAATTTCAAAAATTCATTCATATAAATCAAGGAAATAAGACATGCCAAGCCTTGTTAGTAATTGCATCAACTGGTAGTGAATGTTTACAATGATATAAAATCTAAGAAAACAATCAAAATTGTAAAGTTGAAAAAATGTTTAAAGACTGCTAAAATCACTAGAATTTGAATATTTAAAAATATTAATAAATGCCTGCTGAAGTAATTTTCTTATAAATCATAAATAAAAAAGTAAAAAAAGGTGATAAATGTAGAAAAAACACTCATTACCATCATATACTGTATATATTCACATCATCATCATCATCATCTCAATGTTTGTCATTTTTGTTTTTCTGTTGCATTATCTAAGAACTAGAGGAAAATTTGCTATTATTAACATCTAATAAAATTTTTTTAACAAACTGAAAGANAATCAGATATATAATTATATTATTTCATTATCTAAGATAATAAAATTGATAATATCTTATTTTTATATTAAACTGGCATCAATAAAATGATTTTAATGACAATATCAACATTAAGTCATGTTTATACTCTAATATATCGAGAATATTGTCATACTTTAAATCAAACATAAAAAAACAATACAATAATTTAAATAACTATTCTAAAGGTAATTTAATTTTTCTGCAATTTAGATGCATATATTGATAGTATGTAGTTTATTCTGATACCAAATGTAACTATAACTGTATAAATGTAATTGAACTTCAATTTCACACATTATCAAAACTCAAATTATCAAAATTTACGACATAATATGAAATTATAAATAATAGCGAAATATAAGATAACTTAGTCATAATGTGATTATATTATATGATTCACAATAATAATAACAACATATATTGTTAGATCTCAGTGCCCTTTGTGAGAAATGAGTAAATATTATTTACTCATTTCTCACAAAGGGAAATTCACACATTTCTAACATTATATGTTGTTATTATTCTGTCAAGCCCATCGTGATAACCGGATGAGAAATGACGGTTAAAGTGGCATATGTTGGATTAAAGATCATCTTAACTGCTCTCTGGTTCCCTACTGTGGGCCTGCCGAACCTACCTTGGACTTGCTAAAAAAGGTTCTCTTAGACCCCATGGATTAAAGTGAAAAGAGAGTTAAAAAAAAAAAAACCATCATGAGTTCGGTCGGGCCCCCAATGGAGAGGTCGCGTGATGAGAACCCGATATATTCGGGACAGACCATATCGGAAAACTCCTGGGATTTTTCAATCCGTCCGCATTCGTTCTTGGTCCTCCAGAGCGGTAAGGTGTGCTGATGTCTTAATCGCTCGGCCTTCCGGCCGGCTTTTAAAATTGTCAATTAATATAACTTTAAAAAAAATGTTTACAAGAAATTAACAGAAAAAAAACAGGGATTCTTCATTGTTCGTCCTTTTCACAACTCAGAAACAAACTGTCTTACCGATGAAGGATGGAGAATCACTGTGTTCTTTTCTCTTAATTTCTTGTAAAAATTTTTAAAAGTTTTCTTCTAAATTTTTAAATATAATTATCATCTTGGCTATTTATTAGTTTTATTAAAGAATATTACTGTTTTATTGATCAATGTACTTAATAGTGCAAATAATTATAGGTTAAAAAGCACAGAAAAGTATGACTTTAATATACACTCCTTTAAAACATCACGAAGGAACGTGCGTAGCCAGATGCACATTGCAAGACCGTTAGAAGTGACAGAGATATACAAATGATTAACAGAACAAACAAAGATATGTAACATACACCTGTTTATTCAGTAACGAATATGGCCCCTACGGGCTATAGGCCGCTATATGGCGAGGCATACTATTAATGAGGCAATTAATTAATGGTTGACTGAAGTATCCCTCGTCAAACTGCGTCCATGGCGGTGTGCAGTGTACAGTATATGTCGTCACGATATGTTGCGGTGTATCCGGTGCATCTCACGTCGGACGAGGTGTTTGATGGGAGAGAGATCCGGCAAGGTTGCCGGACAGGGAAGGAGCCTTTAGGCTGGTGAGAGCGCCTAAAGCGTGCGGTCGGGCATTATCTTGCTGGAACACAGTGTCGGATGCAATCTGCACCTGTGACTAAACTAGTCCCTACAATTCGTGTGATTTTAGTCAGCATACGACAAAGTTGAATTGAACAATGGACAAATATCGTTAGTTTCTTTTATTTTTGCATAATAGAAGTTACGAATTTTCTGTTGTTTGAGACCCCTTGGGAATTATAAAAAGGGCAGCCGAGACGAAAAGAGGACACGTGCCCCGTGCCCCAATGTACGGCGCCATGTCTGCCATTCGTGATATAGGTTATCTTTGTTTTTTTATAATTAATAATGACATTTGTTGTTTTAAATGAGATTGTGTCGCGCATACTTTGCTGATTGAATATCCATTTATTATATCGAATAAATTACTCAAAGAATTAATTTTATAAGCCGCGATTATTTACGCGAGCTTTAACATTACCCTGCAAATAATTGTAAAATATATAACAAAAATAACTGTTATTGTTAAAAAATATAAAATGCAGAAAAAAATATAGTAGTTAGAAAGATTATTTGTATGAAAACGGGACACCTAATTTTAAACAATAGAATATAAGTCCGTCGACCATCTCCGGTTGGAGATCGAATTAAACTTCGATTTTGACCTCTCCCGCGCCCCCAAAGGTTTCGAATTGTCATCAGGTGACAAGGAGAGACCAATCGGTAAGAGGAATCTGAGGAAAACGGATAAAACCCCGGACATTCAAGGACGCAACGGCTTCTCCCGAAAGTTCCAAGTGACGGATCTATTGTTGTGTGTGTCTCGTGTCCATCTTCGTCTCCATCTCCCGACCTCGGATCGACATCTTTACATCAACGGAAATCGACCGCATCGTCCCGGAGTCGTCGAGACATCGATGGAATTGTTCATTCGCGAACAAGGGACACTCCTTCAAAATGGGACTATATTGGAAAGGAGAGGAAGACCCAGAGGTCGCAACCGACGTAGAACTTCCAAGATCGCGGAAATCTTGTAAGCTTCTTTCGTGTTTAATAAACGGGTTGTGTTGTTTGTAAACGAGGCATCTATCTCTGACTCAACTGCTTCCACATGTTGATTATTACCGCTCGGCAGTCCAGATGGCAAGGGAGACGATGACGATATATATCGCATAATATCGTTAATTACGTTTTTTTAAATTTCTCCCCCCTCGGCCCCACAATATCAATGGAAAAAAAGTGTTGCCAAGTTTTCTGTAGAAAGGGGTTTTCTTCTTCACGTCATTTTTTAAGTTGGTTTTTTTTTCCATAAAGTATTCAGAATGCTAACCTGATGGCTGAAGTGGTTAGTGCATCAGCCTATTGCTTTGGGGAACCAGAGATCAAATCTATGCAGGCATTTTTCAGAGGTGGTCTGACATGGATATGTTGGGCCTCGTCCCTCATCACTTGGTTGCCACACTGTGATTTGGCTGAATCCACAATGAGCCTGAAAAAAGACCCTCTTAATGCTCATTGGATGAGATTAATTAAGAGGAAAAAAAACTTTGCCAATTTTCAAAGACAAATTTTTATGAAAATTGTCAATCTTGTATATTGCTATTTGTCAGTGTATTTACAGTGCAGTTTGTATATTAATTAGAAGCAAATGTTCTTGGAGTGCAAGTTAGAATGAATGAAACTTATCACATGATCAATATTGTGTGGTCACAATGTTCACAATGTTTCCAACTCTGAAACTGTGATGCAGCAATCTGTATGCAGTGAGATCTTGGTTGCCTTTTGTGAAGAATGACAAAATATAAGTGAAAAGCTTGGTATTTAGTTCTATTAGGTGTTTTATCAATTCTGTTCATCTAATTAATTGTGCAGACAATCTGATCTTTGCTATACATAAACTTATTAGCTTAACTGTCTTTAAATATCTTGTCATTCTGTGTAAATTTTTAACTGGCTTAAAAATAAAATATATTCATTTCTTTTAAAAATCAGAGGTTATTGCTTCCAAAATTAAAGATAATTCACTGCACTTAAAAAAAAATCTAAAACTTTTTAAAACAATTATTTTATTTCTTTATATATATATATATATATTTAT